TTTGGAAATTGCACCCATAATTTAAACAGTTAACTGTTTGTATGTATGAATATTTTAGTAAGGTCTGTTGGAAAAACTGTGATACCGATTTAGCATATCTAGATATGTTGATAAAGTTGAAATTCTATTGTGCCAAAGGGGATTTGCCTACAGCTCAGGGAAAATACTCTGAGGTGAGTGGGCAGGAAAGCAAATTATCTTTATTTTCCAAGGAGGAGGAGAGCTTAAGTTTTGTTTCTGTTATTTTTCCCCAAGAATTTTTCCAGATACTGAAAGACGATGTTTCTGTGGGTGTTGCATAAAATTGAGCTTAGGTATAAATGTGTATTTATGAAATACGATAGGCTCTGAGGCTTAATGTAGGCTGTTTGTAAAAACACAAAACCTTTGTCCTCAGAAGAGTTTGGGACACAGCTTTCCTTTCTCCACCTTGAGATGGAGAGTGAAATGAGATATACAAGTTTCCTTCTCTTGCTCCCATCCTGTTTACATAACATTTGTAATCTAATAAAGCTTCTGGGAAAATCCCCACAGAGGACAGTGACTGTTTTCAAATGGATTAGAATCAGGGAAACGTGAGCAGAAGATCTGGTGATCCTTTGATTTGGAGATCAGCTTTAGCAGAAGTCAGTGCTCATAGGGGAGGCTGTCTCTCTCTCTCTGTCCTGGGGATGGAATTCTGGGCCTTTGGAGGGGAAGGAAGGCTCCCCAATTGTTTGGAACATATTGCTGGTGCTCACAGAAGCCAATAGTATAGCATACAAAGCGTGGCTAGCACTAACCTGGATTAGACAGTGTAGAAAGCACGTAAACCCCATACAGTTGGATAGTTGATATTTCAGAAGTTGTGTTAGTTTAATAACCAGCTTGAGCATGTGAAGGCACTATTAAAACCAATTCTTTTTTTTTTATTGAAAGTTTATAAGATTTTACAATACAAAAACAAAACCATTTCCCCCATCCCTCCCCAACCCTCCCCTTCCCTCCCCCGACTATCCCAGAGTTGGATATAGGCTTAATTAGAATTTCTTCAAAAAAATCTTAAGAAAAGTATAAAATATTAATAAATCTAGATACATTCTTTAAACAAATTACTAAATAATTAACAACAATATATATGTAAAAAAAAAGAAAAACATAAATACCAGAAAAGAAGAAAAAAAAAAGAAATACATAAAAAATATGAAAAGAAAATTAACTTTTCAATATAAGTTATAAAACTATAAACAAATCTAAATACATTACTTAAACAAGTTATAAAATAATTAAAGGTAATATATATATATAAAAAAAGAGAAATAGAAAAAAGGAAAGAAGAAAATAATAATAATAAAAAAAAGGGAGGAAAAAAAGTTTGGCTTTTCAAGAAAATTATTAAAACCAATTCTTGTTCCTTGGGAAATGGGGCGACATTGTCAGAAAATTTCTGATTTGCCATCAAAGGTCGCCTAACTGTTCCAAGATTTGTTTATTTTCATAAGTAATATTCCTTCCGCCTCCTATTTTCTCCACAACAATTACCCTGTGAGGTAGTCTGGACAGAGTGAATGGCTCAGGGTCACCCAGCTGCTTTCATACCTAAGGCAGGGCTAGAACTCAGAGTCCCCTAGTGATCAGCCCAAAATCACCCAGTCAGCTGTCGTGCCTAAAGCAGAACTCAACACCTCTCAATTTCTAGCCTGAGTTTCTAAACCAAGACGCCCACCTACCCTTCCTTTCGCAATTAACTTCCCAATGTAGTGCGTGTTAGACTGCAGCTCCCATCATTCCCATCAGCTCCCATCATTCCCATCAGCCAAGTGAAATAGTGCTGTTACTGAGAAGAAGTAAGATGAAGTTGTAATATTATTAACACTTTGTCAAACTCTGTTTGGAGCAAGGAGTAGTTGAGTCCCATTTGACCAAAATTTGGACAAGGACTAATTGCTTTAAGGGTTGACTTGCATGTGTGAAAGGGATGTCCTAGATTTAACAGATATGACTGCATTTTCTTTTTACTACTGGAAAGTAATTTTGAGGAAATTTTCATTCTTTTATTCTGATTTTGGGGGACACAATGATTTGGTTTTGGGGGGGGGGGACTTTGAAATGTCGAGGCATACAATTGTCTTGATAAGAACAAAATACCAGGTTCATTTTTCCTACATGAAGTTTGATCTTATTTCTGCATCACTTTGCATTTTTTCTCTGTGCGTCAGCAGGAAATTTCAAATATATATTAGCATGCATTTCTTTTAATTTTATACCATTGTCCATGCACACTTCCTAATAGGCAATTTCTGTAAGTGATTTTATCTATAGAAGACTTTTTAATACACATCTTTCCCCTGAATTGACTTTTTCTGATGATATACTCTTTTTTATGCATTTTTGAGCTGAGACTTTGGTGAAAATGCATATTTCAGCACAATATAATGTTCCAGTTTATTCCTAGGTTTGGGAATGTGGATGGAGTATATACCTTTATATGTATTTATATATTTATAAATATATATTCATATATATTCTTCCTTTTGCTGTTTCAAGCAAATCTCAGAAAGAAGTTAATTTCTTGCTGAGAAAGTAAAATATTCCTAGGTTTGGGGATGTAGATGGAGTATATATATTTATATATATAATTAATTTCTTATATATATAAGTTAATTTCTTGCTGAGAAAGTAAACATGTTGGATAGCAACAACAGCAAAGAGCAACATAGATCCAATAGCACAGTGGTGGCAAACCTATGGCACACACGTACCACAGGTGGCACACAGAGCCCTCTCTGTGGGCATGTGCACCATCGCCCCAGTTCTAGGCCTTCAGCTGGGTTTTATAAAACCTTTTTGCTTTTGGCTTCCGCTGCCGTATGCAAAAAAAAAAGATTCAATTAATTAATCAATTTCAACTTCTCGCGGGGAAAAAAAAGATCTGGCAAAGGTTAGTCCCACCCAGTCTGCCGTTATCACCACAGCCACTCCCACCCAATAGGCAACACCCACCCAATGGGCCATGCCCACCCAATGAGCCATGCCCATGCCACGCCCACCCAATGGGCCATGCCACCCGGCACCCGACGATACATAAGTGGGTTTTGGGTTGCAATTTGGGCACTCGGTCTCTAAAAGGTTTGCCATCACTGCAATAGCACATGGAAAAGGAGTGACCGGTATCACAAAATGTCAGAGTAATTTTGCACAGAGAAGCATTTCTCTTTTAATGAAAGATTAGTTTAAATAGTGGTAGTAACAATACTTCATGCCTGATCAACTGCAACTATAGAAATGCAGAAAAGAAAACTGAGGCCATTCTAAAACAAAATAAGAACAATATTTCTTATCTCTTCCAAGGGTAACTTATAATCTACAGTATAATAAATCAGAAAGCATAGAAAATTCAGATGTGCTTAGGAGCTTTCAGTACAACAGATGGGAAATTGCTCTTTGGGTAGAGATGAACAATTTGTAACACATGGACAACATTTACACCCAATGGGCACTCAAAAATTTTGCAGCAAATTGTCAAAGTAAGGATGGGAATGTACTCCCTTAATTCCATCCTTTTTATTTCCTTAATTTCCTTAATTAGATATGTTTGCTACTTTATTTATAAAAATAATAAAGGCAGACTAAAATTATGTAAATAAAAATTAACATGGGGCCCCACAAATTACACTAATAATCTTTCCTAGCCTGTTAAAGAAGCATCTGCATGAAAACAAACAAGCTCAAAGAGGACCAAAAGCCTAAACAACTCAACTCTTACGTATGTTCTCTACTATGGAATACATGAATACAGTATATGGAAATTCCCATCAATACTATGATTAGTTTTCCTAAAGTAATGAGATTGTGGGACATGTCTATGGAGATTTTCAGTCATCCAGGTCATAGTTGTCCTAAAAGTGCTTTTTTCATAAGGCAACTGGACTTTCTTGTTTTTCTTTGAAGACGTTTTGCTTTTCATCCAAGAAGCTTCTTCAGCTTTGACTGGATGGTGGGGAATAGAAGGATTTATATTCCTTGCAGACAGCAAGGATGCAAATGACCAGCTCTCTACAAGGGGTATAAATCCTGAGAGAGAGAGAGAGAGAGAGAGAGAGAGAGAGAGAGAGAGAGAGAGAGAGAGAGAGAGAGAGAGAGAGGATGATACAATATACTTACAAATATGTAAGTATACGACTTAATTTTGAGGTGACGGGTTGATTTCCTGTCACCTCTTTCTGTTCAAGAACAGAATTGAGATCCACAAGTTTCGTGTTGAAGGTACAAATGATTCTCTGATGCCTTGATCCCATCATCCTTTAACTAACTCATGTGCTGCTCTGGGTGGGATTTTCCCAGCTCCCTTGTGGATCAGGGATGTGTAGGAAGAAAGAATCTCCAAAATTATCACTCTCTTCCAGTAGGAGTGGATCTCTGTCCAACTACATAAACTGTGATAATATATATATATATATATATATATATATATATATATATATATATATATATATATAATATTTTGTTTTATGTAGTATTTGTCCATATTATTTCTCTAATGTTTCATTTGTAATACTGTTAGAAATACATTTCTTTTTTTCTTCTTTTCAGCCTACCCTTCCCGCTGTTTTGCCATTCATACTAGATAATTTTGTGTCTACCTAGGAGACTTTCCTACCTCTCCTTTGTTTTATCAGTGCTAGCAGAGCTTGTTTGCTTATCGGATAAGGAAAGATTTTATTAAAAACCAATGTCCTTTTTTTTTTTTTTTTGCACACCAGCAAACCAACCACAGCTTTTGGTCAACTCCATTCCTTCTTTCTTTGCTTTCTTCCCTTTGTTTCTCTTTTTCTCTATACCATTGTTCATTGATGTATTTAGTGTTTCACAGGCTGCAATTTAAACCCCTATCCATTAACCCCTATAAAAACCTCTGCTGGGACAAAAAAATGGTCTTGTGAGATTACAGGATAGATATTACAGAGCAAAGCTCTGGGACTGGAGGGGAAGGGGGGGGTTGAAGTCTCATTGGGGATGCAGGATCCAATCACAGTGGCTGTGATCATCTGATCCTGCAGAGTCAATCCGGAGGCTCTAGTAAAAGGGGAGGCATTACAAACCAAGTAGATGCTTCGTGATGCTGTGAGCTGCTACATACACACACATACACACACACTCACACACGCACAGCTTTTATATGCAGTGCTAGCAGGCAGCGCTGTCACATTTTTGTTCAAGGAACCACCTGCTCACACAATCCGAATTATTTCCTGCCAAAGAGAAATGCTGTCCTGATAGATCTCACTGGTGATCCTAAATAAGGAAGCAACCCACTGCAGACAGGGCTGGCGGAAAAAAATGTGTTTTGATTCATTTTTATTAAAGAAAGAAAGAAAGACAGATGAATAAAAGTTCCTCTTGATTCCTGATACCATATTCCCAGTTTTCTTTTTCTGCCAAGAGCCAGAGAAAATATATGGGTTAGTGAAGCCAACTACAGAAATAGCTATCCTCTGTTTAGCCAAGAACTTTCTTTCTTGCATTTGGGATGAAAAAGAGAAAAGTCTCTAAGGGCAGACTGAGTGCCTTTGATTCCTGCCCATGACCTAACTCTAAAGCCAACTCCGATTGATTTCAGGAAAAACTGGACTTGAGCAACTGGAAAAAAAAAAGATCTGACAAACCAAATCAAAGAGACAATGGTACAAAACGTCATCTTGATTTTCTTTCGCAGGCGATTGAGCCAAAGACCAGCTGTTGAGGAACTTGAAAGACGAAATATCTTAAAACGTGAGTATTGGAATGCTTTCTCTGCTGAGCTACTCGAAATGTTTCATTGTTCTGTGTGTCAATATGGAGTGTCCTCTGCTAGAAGGAGAAAGTGTGTTTATTACTCTATGCACAATTAGAAAGCAGAAACTTTCCCCTATTTAAAGTTGTTGGGCTCAGAAAGTAATATTTATTCTTAGAATAACTCTGTAGTCATTTAAGAAAACTGACAGAGGCTACAGTGTAGTAATACATGTATTCATAGGAATATAATATATAGGATATCTCAAGTGTGCTGAATTCTTTGTTCCCTTCGGTCTCAGAAGAGTCATGTGAACTATATCACAATTATTCCCATTTTGCTTGTCGAGCACTGAGGCTAAGTGAAAAGTCACTTGGATGAGAACACCTACTGAGTCTTGCAGAATTTTTGGAGCTGTGTCTGCATTTATTAGCTTCTGACCTAGTGTACCAGTAACCAAATTTAGACTGTATGTATTTTAAGAAGGAAAATTAAAGATGACCCCAAACTGGAGCTTCTTACTGTTAAAAGTACAGTGTACTGCTGCTTCCAGGCAGAAGAATGATCAGATTATTTGCAGAATCTTCTAATTTTGCTAGGCAACACAAATTCTAATTAAACCACGAAGAGGTAAATTTCTGTGCCATAGCTGTGTAAGTTCTACAGCAATGTCATCAGTTCACATCCAACTTTATTCCACCAACTGCATCCTGTTTCACTCACTGCCCATTTCTCAGAGCTTCAGACTTTATCCCTTCTAGTCAACACCAGACTATTATAGAGGCATTGAACATTTTCTATTTTTTTTCCACTATCACACAGCACCCTTCATCAGGTTAAATGGTAAAGACCTAGCAGCTGCATTTATTCAACATGTTAAGCTTAGTAATGGAGTGGGGGAGGGGGAGGAGAGGAAGAGCTGTGCTTACATCGTTCTGTATGGCTCAATGTATTTACAAATTCAGAAAAATGGGTCGATTTAGTATCCAGGTTAAGAAATGCAGTCAGTAAGTGATCTGATTTATGCTTTTCAAATCACATGCTATCAAAAGATTAAGGCAGATGCAATTCCCTTCATCTCCAACACAGAGAGGACAAGCCCAGATATTTTGCAAAAATAAGGCAGATTGCAATCCCAAAGTCAATTTCTTGCAAACAACTATGGATTCAAGCAGGTCTCTCTCCTACGCAAACTTGCATCAGAGTGGACTGGGCATAATTTGGCCAAAGCCTATTGCTGAGTTCATGCAGCTGCTGGTCAACTCTCTTTTCTGCCATAGCTTTGTGCAATGGATTCAGATAGCTGCTTCTTCATCTTCTCAGTCCCCTTATATGCAATATAAGAACTGCAATAGGGTAACTCTACCCTATCAAATTATTCAGAGGGTTATTAAGAAAATGCATTTTGGCATCTCAGAAGCTGAAAGTGTCTTTTTAGAGTAGTCTTTACCCAACTTCCAGAATTCACATCTGTTGCAGTCTTGGCACGTCTGCACTGAGAATAAGCATACATGTAAACTATTCTCCAACCCAATGGGCTTTCTATGCTCCATAGGTTCCCATGAAGGAGAGTCAATTGTGGCATGGAACTCACATGTTATTCACATTGTGCATTCAAAGTGCAGCCAAGAGGCAGTGGGGTTACAATGGCTAAGATGTTGGAATAAGTCTGGGAGACCCAGATGGCCAATGGCTGCACTCACACAACATGCTTAAACAGATTGGATCTGTTGCACTCATGCTTGCTAAAGTTGTTCATCGTTAACCTTTTAAATGTCTTAAGATGTTGGGTAGGAACTTTGGTTTCTTGGTTTAATTTAATGGATCAATTCAATAAGCAACTAAAGTATGCTGTGGAACAAAGATACTCTTTTTTTAAGCTAACGTGCCTCACAGGTTTGTTAGTGTAGAAAACAATTGGAGAGGAAGGAAGGAAGGAAGGAAGGAAGGAAGGAAGGAAGGAAGGAAGGAAGGAAGGAAGGAAGGAAGGAAGGAAGGAAGGAAGATCATGATTATCACTTTTACTTGTACGTACACTGAGAGCTTATGCACCGGAGACAAATTCCTTGTTTGTCCAATCACACTTGGCCAATACAGTATTCTATTCTATTCTATTCTATTCTATTCTATTCTATTCTATTCTATTCTATTCTATTCTATTCTATTCTATTCTATTCTATTCTATTCTAGTCTAGTCTAGTCTAGTCTAGTCTAGTCTAGTCTAGTCTATTCTAGTCAAATCTAGTCTAGTCTAGTCTAGAGACAAAGGTGGTAGTGATATATAGTAAACTTATACACACACACACACACACACACACACACACACACACACACAGTATAATAATCTTCACAGTTAGTCATGCAAATATCTATATAGAAATGTGTGCAACTGGTGTCTAATCCAGAGAGGACTGGCAAATGTGAAAAGGAGTTCTACATCCAACATCATTTCATTATCACACTTGCAGTAAGACAAAGCGTCCCTATGTCGGGATGATCTTGCAGAACCAGAAAGAACTTTTATCTCATATCCAGTACTCTTGTCATAATGAATTGAACACTGGCAGTGAAGCCAAAGGCCTGGCCTGAGCTGACAGCAGATGAGCAGAATAAAAAAAAGAGACTATCCTCCACCCTGGATGATGATTATTTTGCAATATCAGTTACAGACACCGTGGCTACTCTACTGGGGTTTCCCGGGAATTACTCCTGTGAGAAAATGGCTGATGGATTTAATGTACTTCCATCTTTCCAATGAAAGTGCCAATCTCTTGTGTGCCAGACACGCCACCAAGCAGATGGCCATGCACATATATCAAGAAAGCTTGTTGAAAGCTGTTCAGAAAGTTAGCTCTACAAAGATATCCAAAAGCAGGGCTGGGGAGTGTTTCTGCCTGAAGGTTATCTTCATATAGGCCGGAGCTACAGTAGGTTTGATAGCAAGCTGATAGGTGATATCTCCTGTAAATTCCTTGAATCAGGAATATGATTTTTAGATGGGCTGGAGATCAAAGAGCAAGGTTTTGCTTTTGTCATTGGCTCCAATTGTGTGCACATACCTCTTGGAGCCAAAATAGCTGCCCATAGCTTCCTTTTCATAAGCCAGTGCAATATCATGATCTAATGCTGTGTGAGCATCAAAAGGTCTTCCTTTGCTCCATGAATGTGGAGCTGTCAGTGTTTTGTCCTGCTGCTTATGTGTAATAAATAGCAAGTGAAAAACAGTTGAACTATGAGAAAAGTAATTTTTTTTAACTTTCATTTTCTTTTTTTTTAAATATGGTCTATATTTTTGTTCATTTATTTATTTATTTATTTATGAGATTTATATACCGCTTTAAGTGCAAACACTCTCTAAGCGGTGTACACCAGTAAGCAATGTATATATATATTTACATTGCCCCCAACAATCTGGGTCCTCATTTTACCTACCCCGGAAATTTGGGTCAAATTCACTCAAAAGAAATGCGGCTGAGTTGCTTCTGCTTCTCACTCAGGTTTCTCCAACCAGGCTCAACCAAAGGAGGACCAAGGCAAAATGATCTCTGGGACCTCCTCACCACAATAAGGGTGGACAGCTATTTTGCAATTTCCCAGAGGTTAACTAATATTCCATACTGGTAAATTAAGATCCTGCAGTGTCCCAACCTCAGTCTTCCTCTAGAAATCTCCCACACCTGTTTGGTTCTATAGTCCATATAAGCTGGTTGGCCAGGCTTAGAACAAGCAGTAGTAGGTTACAAATCTCAGGAATATAATTACAGAATAGTTAAGCTGCGGTATCTTCATTAGAGCAGGTGCCTTTAGAACAGGGCTAAAATTATTCCATAGATTTTGAGTTTTTTCCTTCCGGGGATTTGTTCTGGAAGATACAGTATTTCTGGACAGGAAGGGGAAGATATTAGACAGATAGCCATGCAGTGATGACTGCAATCTATTCTAATGCAGTATTATGTATGGGAGTTGAGCTGAAAAATTACCTGTAAGGAGGAGAAAATAGAAACCAATGATAGATGGATGGATGGATGGATGGACCGACGAACAGACAGACGGATGGACAGATAGATGATATATATATACAGTATATATAGAAGATGAAAGGTAGGTAGGTAGGTAGATAGATAGATAGGTAGGTAGGTAGGTAGGTAGGTAGGTAGGTAGGTAGGTAGACAGACAGACAGACAGATAGATAGATAGATAGATAGATAGAGTTTTAAATCCCATGTCTGACCAATAGGGTTGCTTAAGCTTATGTCTGTGACATATACTCAGTCATGTTGGCTATTCTGGGCTTGCTGATAGTCAGAAGCATTTTTAAATCTTAAATATGAGGAACATTAGCAGCCACATCAGCATACATCCAGCAAGCATCCTGCTTTCCTGGCTGTGCTAAGAAGTTACGCCAGCATTTCCAGCAGGTAGATGTGAAAATTATTCTGACTGTATTCCGCATGATTAATCCATCATGCAGGACTGATCTCACCTATTCACTCACCCTCCTTGCACAACTGTTCAGAATAATATCATTGGTTTTGTTGGCAAGAAATACCAGAAGTATTTCCCCTGTCAGCCTAATTCAAAGTACGGCAGGGAGAAAGGCAGCATTTTGAAGCTTTCAAAGGAGAAAGTAGTGAGGGGGTGGGGTGAATTTTGGATCACTTGGACATTACACACACACACACACACACACACACACACACACACACACACACACATATATATATGACTAAATAGAATTGAATAGCAGCTTTCTAGCAACAAAGTGATGTCACTGACTCATACATTCTATCTGCTGCATTAAATGCTCTTGTTTAAACGAATGAGATGTCCAAGTGAACTGAAGTTCCCCCCACCCCCACCCCCACTAGTTTCTTTTTCTGGCACCTTATGTCATTGTCATTTTTTTCTTCCATTATTTTTCTTTCTATTCTAGTCAATGACAATGGTTCTAGCTGGACAAACCTCAAATCTTGAAATAACCTTTAGGCTTATATGTTAG